TTTTTGAATAATCTTTTATTTGTTAAAAGTTTGTTATTGTATGTGCAAACCTTGATCTCAATGCTACATTTGAGGTGAACTCTATTTTCTTTTTCCATTATTTATTTATTTACTTTATGTTTCATTTTTGTTTTGTTCCCGATGTACCTCTGGGTCTGAATTTGGTTTCATCTATAGCATTTGGCATTCTCTTGATTACATTTGTTTATGATATGTGTCTAGGGTTGTAAAATGACTGAGTCAGTTGAACTTTACTTGAGATTGGCTTATACATGGCCTGTTCAAGCTTATCTTATTAGATAAAGGAGTTAAGCTAATAAATGATTGATAAATGAAGTAACATGCAAATAACAAAGTTAATCAAACTGAATTCATTTTCAACTCTGCAAAATAACTTGTTTGAGATTTGTTTAGAGATAAACAAGTCAATCTTATGCTGATACTCAGTGGGCCAACACTAACTTGGATAAATTAATTTATGCTTCTATACATGTCAGGACTAGATGTTTTGTTTATTTATGTTTCAATTTTGTTGATAATTATCTCTTTTATGGTGGATTTTTCATAATTAATTATGGTTTACGTTTTCCTCCTTTGTCTTTTTTCCTGTTAGTAATTTTTTCATATTTTCTTTGTTACCTTTAGATTGAGTCGGTGTTAAACAAGGAAAATTTTACATAGGAAGAGTTCTGGTTAAAGAAGAGACAATCCTAGAATGCAATTTATTAAATAGTCACCTCATAAATTTGTACGACACTTTTACTTTCCAGCTACATATTTCTGTTTATTAGTCTTGTCGTCTATGTTATGAGTGTCTTTTTAATCAGTCTTGGTTCCTTGGCAATCACACCCTTACCCTGACCTGCTGGTTTCACTTTTAATTTTGAAGTTTTGTGAAGACAGTGTGAAATTTTATTGGTGTTTAGTGGGAGAGATAGAGCTCAAGTTGAACACTTGCACTACATCATTTAGGAGTCTTCAAATGATGCAGATAGCAAACGAATGTTCAGACCTCAAATCGTTTCAATTTTCAAATCAAATTTATTTTTCCCCAAAACTGGTCTTATAAACATGAGGTACTAACTTGATTTATTTGGTTGTTGATTAGTCATTGCAATAAGTCAAAAATCAATGATCTATGTCAAGGATATGCACACTGGATTTAACAAAAAATATTGAAACTATTACGTATCATTTGATTTCCAATAGCAGTCTTGGAACTCTCGCCCTGCGACCTTCCATTAATTCTGGGTATGGGGTTATGTAATCGTTTTGAAATAGATTATCATCTTAACAAAATCACTTAGAAAAAATGTAACGGTAATCATGCAACGCACGATCACCACTAGTGTGACTACAAATCGACTTTAGTGTTTATTAACAGTTTGTAAACATGAGCCATCAAAATATATAATTCACAAAAAAATTCAATAGTCATTTCTGATTTAACTAAAAATGCATGCCCTCAATTAATCTCCCAACCATGGAGCAATTAAAATCGATAAAAAAAAAAAAAAAAATTGTATCCAATAAAAACTAAAAAATGTGGCGTGGTCATCATCTTTAAAACACACGTAAATTTACAATCTTTTCCTAATTCATCTGGGCTACTTTATGCCGCAGATTTCAATCCTCTTAATTTGATAACCAAAAAATGGCTTCCCATTTCTAATTTAATTCACAATTTTTGCAGTAGATTTCAATTCACAATTTCAGTCCCAGCAGAGCATATATGATTTTGAAATAGTGAGTTTTGAGAATTTATATAAAATTCCTCTTTCTTCTTTGTAAAAATGTCAAGAAGGTGGAAGTGGCGGTACAAGAAGAGGAGTCAATTGAAGGAGAACCAACAACTTAAATTGTGGTGTACTAAAAAAAAAATGTTTTTAAGAATTGTGGGTAATTAAGTAATTCCACTTGATCACTAAATTCATTTATTTTTTTAACTAATTTTAACAGGTGTAACAAGTAAATTTTGTTGTGGTAATATAATTACCCTATTCTAAATCTTTATTTATTATGAAGCATTCAATTTCCCATTTTATAATAATAAAATATCATAATGTGATAGTTTACGTAGATTAATAGTATGATTCAACGGTTGAATTTTTACGGGAGAAAAAGAGGAAAGAGAATTATGGGAATAACATTGGATAGCGGTGCTACTGAATTTCACAGTAATGGCTCCTCCATAAATTCCATGTTACAATAATTCTCTCTTCAAATTCAAATGAGAAATGGCACCAGAAATTGCAGTTCAAATCAACCCAGAGCCTATTCAAAGCTTCTTCAATAATCTTGAATCCCAAAAAACCCTAATCAACACCATTACAGACATCCACCAAACCCTTACCACCCATTTCTCCACCCTTCAGTCCTCTCTCTCTCAAAAGTCCCAAAATCTAGACTCTCAGATCAAAACCCTTGTTCAGGATACCCGAAATGCCCTTCAGGACCTTCAGAATCGCGAGGATGCCATCCCGGATCGCGAGTCAGTTTTTCAGGCGCAAGTTGAGGGAAGGAAGGCAGACGCAATTGCGGAGATTGAGAATTTGAGGGACTTGAAGAACAAGGGTTTANGCAAGTTGAGGGAAGGAAGGCAGACGCAATTGCGGAGATTGAGAATTCGAGGGACTTGAAGAACAAGGGTTTAGCAGAGGTTTTTAGGGTTTATTGTAGGAGGATGGATTCTGATGGGCTGGTGAAGTTCATGATTGCTAAGAGGAAGGAGGCCAGTGCCTTCAAGCCGGAAATTGCCGCTGCTGCGGAGGAATGCGTGGACTCGATGAGGTTTTTCTCGATTTCTTCTTTGTTTTTCTTTTTTGGTGGTAATTTAGTTTTGACATAAATTGATTATGATTACTGGGTAGAAACTGTCAGTATGAGCTATGTCATAGCTCCGATGTCATTACAGTGGCGTAGTAGGTTGTAGTCTGTAGTTATGCCATGCTCTAGGAGTGCCCATATTTATAATGACTTAATAGATTTAAGAGGAAAAATTTGATGTGATTTCAGTTCATAATTAGATTATAATTCATTTAGTTTAGGAGGAGGAATCTCTCCTGTTGGGTGTTATTGCCACTCATGTTGCCTTGTTTTTCTTGATAGACAGTCCCAAGCCTGGACAAAAGAGGATGGTTGCGGCAGGTTGACATTCAATGTAAAGTTTTTGTCATACGTTGCGACGAGCTTATTTAGAAATAGACACGTGAAAGAGTAGTTTCTAAGAAATAAGATGGATTAGTGGACTAGGAATACAAAATCAGTGGTAATTAGCTTTAAATTTTCAAAATGAATTCAATTAAAATTTGGGTGGGATTGGTGGGAAGATTGTTAAATTTGGATAATCAAGCAGTAGCTCTTGATACTGTAAGAACAGCATCCTCTGGAAAGGGGTCGTATGATTTGGACAGTGGAGTTTGCATTTTTTTCTTTTGATTGAGAAAACTTGATAGTAGATGTCCATATTTACATCGATATCTATTTCAGAAATAGTTTGAGTATAAAAATGGATGCTTTGAAGTTTTGTGGAGAAAAATAGATAATCGATGATATTACTGAATTTAAGCTTGTTCTATTGGTTCGAGCATTTGGTTGGTCACTAATTAGGGCATCCTCAAAGCAGAGACTTGTGATAATTAGTTATAAAATGTAAGGAAATTTAAGTTGGAGTGTGATGAACTTTCTTTTATGGATAATTTAGATTTCTTCTCCAATGATATTTTTTTGGGTAAATGGCGCAAAACGTCCCTACCTTTGCATGGTTGTGTGCAAAACGTCCTTACCTTTCGTTTTTTGGCGCAGAACGTCCTTACCTTTCACATTTTTGGTGCAGAAGGTCCTTTTCCCTAATTTTTATCATAAGATGACCATTATACCCTCCTATATAAATAAAACAAAAAAGAAAAATAAAAAATAAATTGCAATCTACTCCTCAACTTTTTTACAAATGCAAATCGGTCCAAAACTTGGGAAAATATGTAAAAAAAAAAGGCAAAATGGTAACTTTGCCTTTTATCTATTAAAATAATAAAAATAAGATAAAATTGAAAGAAAAAAAATACTGTTCATTCATCTTCTTCACCCCACCCCACCCCACACACCCCAAACATCACAGTCCCAAACCACCTGTGTAATTCCAAGATTACCTTTCCACTTCATTCATGTTGCTCGCCCTATTTTTACCTGTTTTTCACTAATCAATTGGCCTGGATTCCTTACTATTGTTTCCACGGTTAATGGTACTCGAGTTAATTCTTCAAATTGACTTTATTAACAATTCCCATCAGATGAGAAGTTGAGAACTCTCTTTTGCTGAATCACAATTCCCATCTAACTCTCATCTGTACTTGTATGCAAATGAGCGAAGTCCGTGAGCAATAACTGGTTATAAAATCAATGTAGTATTGCTTTATTTAACTATAGCACTCCTTAATTCTCTTGGCTTTATCCAGGTGCTATGAATCTGAGCAAAGACGTGAGGACCGAGATAGACACAAGCATGGAATCTTAGTGGAGAAAATCCAGGCCAATTGATTAGTGAAAAACAGGTAAAAATAGGGCGAGCAACATGAATGAAGTGGAAAGGTAATCTTGGAATTACACAGGTGGTTTGGGACTGTGATGTTTGGGGTGTGTGGTGTGGGGTAGGGTGCGGTGGGGTGGGGTGGGGTGGGGTGAAGAAGATGAATGAACAGTATTTTTTTCTTTTAATTTTATCTTATTTTTATTATTTTAATAGATAAAAGGCAAAGTTACCATTTCGCCTTTTTTTTACATATTTTCACAAGTTTTGGACTGATTTGCATTTGTAAAAAAGTTGAGGAGTATATTGCAATTTATTCTTTATTTTTCTTTTTTGTTTTATTTATATAGGAGGGTATAATGGTCATTTATGATAAAAATTGGAAGAAATGATGTTCAGCGCAAAGAATGTGAAAGGTAGGGACGTTCTGCGCCAAAAAAGAAAGATATGGANGAAAGGTAAGGACGTTCTGCGCCAAAAAACGAAAGGTAAGGACGTTTTGCACACAACCATGCAAAGGTAGGGACGTTTTGCGCCATTTACCCATATTTTTTTTATATGAAATGTAATAAATAGGGAATAGTTTTGGAATTTCAGTAGTAGTTTTTGATTGAACATTTATCATATTTCTATGGATTGCTTTATTTCATAGCCTGGAACAGTAGAAATTTAAGCCCGTGTTTGACTACTATCAACACAAAACTCTTTTTTTCTTAAACTCATTTTCAACCACACATTTTTATAATAAAATATTCTGCATGTAAATCCAAACATTTTTCTTACTTTTTAACCACACATTCTCTAAGAAAATCACTATTCCAAAACTCATTTCCCCAAAAAAGAAAAAAAACTCATTTGGTTTTTCAAATTGGGGCTAAGTGTGGGAATTGTAAAATAAACATCTTTTGTAGAAATATATGTAGATTTAATCTGAATTTGTTTACAATCTTGTATGCTTTTGGGGTCTGTTTCAGGTTGGTTTTGGATGCTGTGGAAGATTTTGTGGGGGTGAAAATGGAGGGAAAGCCTGGAATAGTAGATAGGAGGTGGGCGTGTGCTCTGTTGATTCAATCAATGGTTCCATTATCACTAGGTGGTGGTGGTGTTGGGAGGAATTTGAAGGAGAGGGCAGCCACAGTGTTGGAAAGGTGGAAGAAAGTCACAGGTGCTGGTGAGGAAGGGAATGGCGGGATTGGTTCAGGTGAAGCTTCAATGTTCTTGCAGATGGTGATTGGTTTTGGGTTGAAGGAGAAGTTTGAGGAAAAGTTTTTGAAGAACTTGGTGGTGGATTTTGCATCTAGGAAGGATATGCCGAAGTTAGCTGTGACTTTGGATTTTGGCAAACAACTAGAAGGTAGGTGCCTTGTGTGATCTTCCTTCGTTGTTATGGATATTTGCATAAAAGAAAGGGAACGTTGCATCATTCGTCTCCAGCCTATTGCCTTAGAAACAAATTGATCCTAACATTTAGAAAGGAAGAAGTTAGTTCGCAACCTTTTATTCTAATTGCAAAATTTAGTCCCCAACAACAAAAATCGTCCAAATCTTAGTTAAATCGCCTCCTGACCTTCAGGGAAACACGTCTCGCTTCAGAATAATGGTCACCAGCCTAAAAATCTAGCTTTATACAGTTGAACATGTCGGGGAATCTTGATGGTTTAATGGTTTTCTATGGTAACTGATTTTGCAATGACGAGGAAAGTTTGAGGATCGACTTGCTTGACACAATGGTTTCGAAATATTGGTGATGTGGACCAAATTCATTACCTGAATGTTTTAATGATCTGATTCTTTATTACGCATTTCTTGCAGTTGTGACCTATTAATACCTGTCTTAGAGGGTTTATGGGACTTAATTTTTTGTTTCGCTTCAATTTATTGAAATGAGTTATTCGTTGTCATGTGCAGATATAATTGATGAACTGGTGAAGAGCAGTAAGGAAATTGAAGCTGTTTATTTTGCTTGCGAGTCCGGTTTGACTAAGAGGTTTCCTCCCGTTTCACTGCTTAGGTCATGTCTTAAGAAGTGCCAGAAAAATGTTAATAGCATATCAAAGAGTGGAAATCATAGTGCGGCTGCATCAGTACGTATCCCTCTCTCTCTCAAACGCACATTTTGACTGTTTCTAGTTGATTTATTTGGCAGTAATTAGTCTATTAACCAGCCCTTGAGTATTTGTTTAGTATATTTGTCATCATACACTTCGCTGACATCTTAAGAAAAAGGAAAAGAAACTAGAAGTAGATAGCGTAAGCAGTTATCTTTTAGCATGCTTTTAGTAGTCTAATGGAGGACAGATAAGTCAGAATGGGTGTTAATGTGCAACATATTTTTCACCATGGCTGATTGAGTGTGCACTCAACTCATTACCTTCAGAATTTTGGGCCCTGTGTGCTTTCTTTCATTGTCAATGAAATGACTGTTTCCTAAGGATACTTTTATCTTACTTTCAAGGAAAGGAAGTTACTTATTTAGAAAGTAACTTGCATTGTCATCAAATTAGTAAGTATTTATTTCAAACTCGCTATTGATAAAGATATATTATTTTCAAAATTACTAATTTATTTACATTTAAACTTTTTAGGTTAGCCAAACATGCTCCAAGTGCCCCAAGCATCTGATTTGACTTCTGTTTCAGGATAAAGCGGTTGATTTAGAAGTAGAAGCTACTAAAGCTATCATAAAATGTGTGGAAGATCTCAAGCTCGAATCACAATTCTCTATAGACAGCCTCAAGAAGCGGATTACACAGCTAGAAACGACTAAAGCTGATAGGAGAAAGAGTACAGGGAGCAAGCCTTCAAACAAGCGCCCTCATGGAGGTGGTGGCAAAGGAACTGTCCCGTCCTCCTCCCTCCGGCCACCTAAATCCAGGCGTTTCTCTAATGCCTCACCTTCTTTCCTTCCCAGGCACATTTCCCAATCGCAGCTTGGGCCAGCGGCCCAATTTGCAGGGCCATATACCTATCCCAGTCAACGTGTGCACAATGGTCCAGGCATATCCTCATATGGTTCAGGTTATGTTGGGGCTCATGCACAAAGCCGGTCCCCAGCTCCACAACAATACGCTTATGTGGCTCAGGATGTTGGAGTTGGAGTTCCGGGAGGTGGATCATATGGAGGGCAGGGGTCTTATGGAGGACAGGATACATACGGTGTGTACGATTATGGTATGGCAGCTGCTCTTACATACCCTCCTACATATCCACAACAGTAGTCCAAGATTCTAAAGTACTAGGAACCAGACCAGCAAGTAGCTAATCTTTTTCACGATGGCATGTTTGGTCCAATGGACTGTGGACAAAATGTGCACATGATATTTATAGTGATAATTTTGTGAATGAGGCAAGTTGTCTCCACTTTTGTAGATAATGAGGGCTCACACTTTTATCCAAGACTAGATCAATGTGCACATGATATTTATAGTGATAATTTTGTGAATGAGGCAAGTTGTCTCCACTTTTGTAGATAGTGAGGGCTCACACTTTTATCCAAGACTAGATCAGCAGTATGCATGTAAGAAGATTATCGATAGTCTATTTGCTCTCTCACAATTGCATTGAGGTTTCTTGCAATTTTATGATCACCAATAATATCTACAGGAACATCTGCTTTCGTTGTATGTTGAATTGCAGAATTCTTATATTGTATTTAGTCTATTAATGCACATGAACACGTGTTTTGAGCAAAAAGCTGAAAATGAAGCACGAGTAAATAGAAGTTGGCCTGATACTCGACTGTGAATGCCAATGACGAATCAATCTTCTGTTACAATAGGCGCATCCTTGCCAAGAAGCATTTATTCTAACCAAATGCAAAATTTGTTGAGAACTTCCTTTAGTATTGAGATCACAATGCAACAATTTTCACATTCATCAGTATCAAAAAAGAAGTAAACGAACCATCAAAGACGAGATCTATTTTGAATTATCCAGAAAGTGATATTTGTGCATATACTAAAATATATGGTTAAAATATGGATAATCATATATTTTTCCCGGTTCAATAGAATCTCAAGAGTGAAAAAGGCCAAATAAAAGATCCAACGTAACATTAAACCGTACAAAAAACACCTCATGGGAACCAAACTTGCACTGTACAAAGCACAAAGTTACACCCTTTTATTGACCCATCATAGATTCCAACAATGGAAATATCCAAGTATCCAACTAAGTTTCATTCAACACAAAAAATATGACAGGAATGAAATTACTTGAAAGAAATCTAGTTCGAAAAATCACAAAGATCTACTAGAGCAAAACTTTGCTCACAGCAAAATTGGGGAACTACGATACATGTTTGTTTGGTCAGCAGACTGGATAGCCCTAAACAATTTAATGACAAGAGTTTTAACTTATTTTTCTATTTTAACACTTTCTAGTAATATCAAATTCACCATACCAAACATTCAAATAGGGTCAAACAAGCCAGTAATCTTACACGCATTTTCATTCACTTGAAAAGGAAGTTTTACCAGCCAAGTCTTTGTGCCACAGAAAGACCACATACAAGCACCACAGCATAGATGCTGCAATCCATGAACAATGCACCAACAATCTTCTGCATCAACAACCCTGACTCAAGAGCTTTCGCTACTTGATCAATCATACCATCTCCACCAATAGAAGGAACACTACTTGTCTGTCTTTCCTTGCTCCCTTGTTTTCCTAGAAGAAGCCGTGCAAGCACAATTGATATATTTGTTATCAGAAGTAGATAAAGTGGTCTGAAACATATGATGCTCCTAAAATTGCCCCAGCCCAGAAATGGGAATCCTGTGTATGACAAGAACACTAAAATGGCAGCTGCTATGGAACAACAAATTCGAGTGTTCTCTGAAGCTGAAATTGCAGTACATATTTGATTTGCTGTGAGCAAATTCTGACGGCTAGATCGTTGGAGTCCACTATCTATGAGAGGAGTTTGAATTGATGATGAAACTTGAGATGATTCTTCCTTGCCACCAAGCAAGATTGCTGCTCTGGAGCTTTCAATGTTTCCGTCATTGTCATTTTCGTGCGTTAATAGATTTTTTGGTAATGTGGGCAGTAAGGTACTGGACAATATTAAGAAAGAAAACGAGGTTAAAATCTCGATTTTTGTACTATTTCGTCCTATCCAATATTGCTTATCAAATTACCTTGAAGGTTCTAATTTGTCGTCAGAGTTATTGGGCTGGTCAAATTGGTTGCCAGAGTCGTGATTTGCCAACAAAGAACCAGAGATTTTCTCTTCATGCCCAAGGGGACCTGCATTGATAACAGTATTGAACAACTAAATATAAAAATAAGTAAAGAACATTTACATATGGTATCGGTAAAGAGAGACTTGTCAAACAAGCATTTGTTATTGCAACATTCTAGGTAGATGACACTTACAGTGTTACGTCCGAGCTGATCAGTTAAAAAGTTTAGGGTATACTGAAACAAAGCTGCGTTGTATTCAGATGACAATATGATTTATGTTTAGCAATAAATCACTTGACATTGAATGTATCTATAAAGGCAGTTCAGGGTATTCTTTTTTGACCTTGTATCTGGCTTCTATCTGTAATATGGTTCAATGATAACCAGTGGTAAGATCTATCTCACTTCCTTAATATGCTCTCAAACTAAATATGAAAAAATGAACATTTCAATACAAACCAGACAAATATAAACACTCCAATATACATGATTATATGAAGTTACGTTGCTGCCAGCATGGCCACTGGACTATGGCTGAAACACCTGAGCACATTTATTTCTGAAAATCTCTTACTGCATAGTTGCTAATCTGAATTTCTCATTTCAGTGAGATTATGCTTGTGAGAGAGAATGGACAAAGTGCTTATAAGACCACAGGCCGAGCTTTAATTTAGTGATGTAGGACCCAATGGAGTCGTTGCAATCTACCCATATTTTCAAAATCAATGTTTATAGCGGCTCATATTCCCATCTAGGTGACTTCAAGGAAAAAGTACAAGTACCCCTCCTCAGGTTTTAAAATCCGCAGCAAGAAAACCCTAAAAAGGTGTTTGCTTTGATTGACATCCTTAAGACTGCCTTGTAAGGGAAGAAGGATGCCAAAATTACTTATAAACCCACAAGTCAAGCTTTAATTTAGCAACATCGGACTCAATAGAGTGGTTACATCTACTATTTTTTATTGAAACAAATCAAAAGATCTTAAAATAGTAATATAACTCCGTCGGTCAGATTTCAGGGGTACATAATAGAAACTTCACCTCTGGCCGTGAAAGTGCAGCATCAAGGAAGATGATTGGAATAACTAAAAGCTGATCTTACTATGGGAATTGCCTGAACTGATAATTTCACATCCTAAATGATAAATTTGATCTTTACATATTATGCAAATTGCCCCCAAGATTATGCACTCAATCTCTTCATCAAATAAAATTTACTTAATTCACTTCAAGTCCGCAAGCAATGTATTATTTAACCATAAAAAAACCTAACCAAACCGTCCAACAGAAATTCAAAATCATCGACAACACACGTACACGTAAATAGATAAAAATATTAGATAAGGTAAAATTAGAGTTACCAGAGGACAATCGATCGTTTTGGTCTGGAGTGGAAGGTATGGAGTGGATACGGCCGGTAATGAGGGCTAACCGGTCAGATCCTCTATCAACAATACGGCGTCGTCTGGCTTCTCTATTGTAATTGATTCCTGCGGTGGCCATTGATTACCAGAGAAGAACGAATCTGCGAGTTGAATTCGTTATAAGGGGAAGTTGCAGCATATGATAGATATGATTTTTATTTTCCAATCTCTGGAACTTTTGTTGATTCTGAATGCGAATAATTTTCGCTATTCAATTCATAAAGTTTTGCAAATAGGTCCCTGATTTTTAATATTTTACATATCAGTCACCAACTTTTTAAGTTGCATTCGGCTAAACCTTATTAGAAATTTGGTATTTAGCCCCCATTTGGTATACATTAAAATTTTCATTCTCATTTTTTTACTCATTTTCTACCACATATTCTTCAATAAAATAATATTTTCCATCACATCAATAACTTTTCATTCTTTTTCAACCACAAATTCTCCATCAATCCACTATTCCAGAATATATTCTTCCAAAATAATGTGAATCAAACAAATTATAATAAATGGTATAATTAGATGGCATTAAGGTAGATTTAAGGTACGTAACCTAATATTATATTTTTATTTAAGAAGTGTCATTTACACTAAGATGAGTTCATGCTAAGCAAAAGCAAAAAAAAAATGTAGTAGAAAGATATTCTTTTAAATATAAATACGAAGAATAACATCTACCAATAGTATGAATGATAATTTTATACTCAATCATCCAGTATAATCCGATTGTACCACATGTATATAATTGGTTTACATACACATGATGTGATAAGATATGATTGGATCATAATTTCTTAAATCAAATAAAAAAATCTCCATTATTTTTTTGTATCTCATGTATATATAACTCTTTATGTACAAGTAACATTATTCTTATAATAGATGACAAAAGTAAAGGAAAATAAATAATCTTGATACATGTACATCAAGATTTATATAATGGATTACAAAATATCACATGACACTCTATCATTTTCCAATTTAAAACACGGTCAATTTTTTCCCTCTACGTCATTTTTGGTAACCGTCTATATACATTTTTTATACATAAGTAGCAAAATTTGAAAATAAAAGGGTTCATTCCATTTGCAATATTTGCACTTTGATACAATCGTCAATTGTGTCACTATACTTCAATTCCTATCAATTTAATCAATCCTACAAGGTCGTAAAGATTCTATCAACTCAATAATTTAGGGATTTATGTGTTGTGTTTTTATTTTTGAGGGCGATGTTTATTTGATTTTTAAGTTTATGGCATGAATATAAATCGTTGAGTGTGCATTTTTTTTTTCCAATGGTTTAAAGCGACATTATGTAAAATGAAATGATTCAATTGATAGGAATTGAAGTAAAGAGTGACATTGACAATTGGATCAAAGTACGGAGATCGCAAGTGAAATTAACCCGAAAAGAAAAAAACACAAAAAGAAGTAAAATAAATTAATTTATAGTGGATAAGAAAAAATATTTGTCAGAAGTGGGATTTGAACCCACGCCCTCTCACGAGGACCAGAACTTGAGTCTGGCGCCTTAGACCACTCGGCCATCCTGACACTTTGTTAATAACAATATAACAATAAACCTTTCTTATAATATTTATTG